GTGTTGTTCTCTTGTCTCGAGTCAGACGATTTGGCTGACTCTCTTCCTTCTTGACTGTGTGTATCCATTGTTGAGGTTTATACCTTGTTTATTCTTTACTATTTGTTAAATAGCACCTTAACGCCTTGGTAGTTGTTATCGTTGGGTTTAACGTACGCGTGACTGTTGGATACAGAGTCAGAGGAGTCAAGAAAGACGAAACAATCAGTATAAATTGGCTTCTGTGCCGAAATTCTGACCTTGCTGAGAGCTGCGAGGAAGAAAGAGTGCAAAGTTTGACAAAGGGGAAAACCGAACCGGTTGGTAAAAATCTGATGTGGAGACTTCTTCGCAAACTGGATGGTCATGCACAGAAAGAGATCAAAATAAACGGACGAAACAAGGATCAAAAGGTGGCTTCACAAACCTGGATGTACTCAGTCAGTGTGCGGAAGAGCTGCTTTCCAATCCTGATGGCCTTGATGAAGTTCTTTTTGCCAGACTCATCTATTGATGGCTTGTTAGAGTAATGCCAGTAGAAGTCCATGATGGATTCCTGAAGCCGGAGCAGGTAGTCCACAGTGCAGATGATAAGATTCACCGAAGTTGTATTGCCCGACTGCGAGCGAAGGTAGTCTTGGAACTCTGTGAGGCGAAATCAAGTGAAAAGTACAAAAGGTTATTTGGTACACTCGAAACCAGAGATAGGAATCTAAAACTTCCCGAGGATCTCGTTCGCGAAAGACTCCTAATCGCTATTCAACGACTATAAGCAGTCTGAACACAGGAGGCTCCGCAGATGTCAGTAGAAGCAAAGACCATGTTTTTTGCTTCAGCTGTTGAGACACTCGTGTTGCATAAATCTGCCAGTCACTCCACTTGAAAGTGACCTTGTAATGCTCTACAGTACAGCACGTTTGCTAACTTCACAACTCCTGTCAGCTCTATAGTCAAATAAACAACCAACTTAGTGGAGATATGAACATGGTGGGCTATATAAAGTACACTATGATGGTGATGATGGTGTGAGCGGGGGGGAGACATTTCTTGACTAGATTGAGATAAAACTCACCCAAATTGTGGCCCTCACAGAGAAGTTGAAGGAAGCGGAAGATTTTGCACGTGAAATCGGCATCGTAGAGATTGGTTATGCCTTCCATGTCGGACAGCCCAACAGCCAGGCCCTCAGCTTTGTTGCACCTCTCGAAGGTGTCCAAGTCGAGGACCGAACAGTTCTGCATGAGGCCAGCCAAACTGGTGAAGAACCCGGTGAGTCGCTTCTCATCCAAATACCTCAGCATACGGTTCTGCACTCTGACGTTGCCATCCAATAGGATCGCAATGCCCAGCTCAATGGAGGCCTGGGCAACGGCCGTCGCTTCGCCTATAGGTTGGCAAAGGTAAAACGTTGTACGTGCATGAGCGCACACTTGGAACAGGTGTAGTAAGACTGACTAAATGTCTTAATAATAATAATTGTATATTTAAGGCCCAGGGCCCCGTCATTAAAAACTTAGTGCTGTGGTAAAAATAAATTCAAAGTTGGTAATTACAGCTGCGTGTGAGCAACTGTATG